CACACGCGCGTAAACCTTTTCGAGCAACCCCTCCCACACGAAACACCAAACAGCCTTGTCATTGGCGTACTTCCAAAATACACTAAAATAAGCACGCCACCACAGCGGCAGCTGCGTTTTTCAAAATTNNTACGGTAAACACGGTGGCGGGTAGTAGTAGTAGTAGTAGCAGCAGCAGCAGCAGCAGAAAGTAGTAGTAGTAGTAGTAGTAGTAGTAGGAGTAGGAGTAGGAGTAGGAGTAGGAGTAGGAGTAGGTAGGAGTAGGGGTAGGAGTAGGAGTAGGAGTAGTAGGAGTAGGAGGAGCAGCAGCAGCAGCAGCAGCAGCAGCAGCAGCAGCAACAGCAGCAGCAACAGCAACAGCAACAGCAACAGCAACAGCAACAGAAATAGCAATAGCAACGTAACAGCAATAGCAATAGCAGTAGCAGCAGCAGTAGCGCTAGCACTGGCACTGGCACTGGCACTGGCACTAGCAGTACCAGTACCAGTAGCAATAGCAATAGCAATAGCAATAGCAATAGCAATAGCACCAGCAGCAGCAGCAGCAGCAGCAGCAGGAGCAGCAGCAGCAGCAGCAGCAGCAGCAGCCGCAGCAGCAGCAGCAGCAGCAGCAGCAGCAGTAACAGCAACAGCAACAGCAGTAGCGCTAGCACTAGCACTGGCACTGGCACTAGCAGTACCAGTAGCAGTAGCAGTAGCAATAGCAATAGCAGCAGCAGCAGCAGCAGGAGCAGGAGCAGGAGCAGGAGCAGGAGCAGGAGCAGGAGCAGGAGCAGTAGCAGTAGGCAGCAGCAGTAGGCAGTAGTAACTAGTAGGAAGTGGTAGCGGCCATCGTCATGGCACGTCTTGCACAGGCCTAGATTCTAGATCGCCTAAGCACAAGCTGGTCCGGCTAAAAACCGCTTGAAGCAAGCTTTGCGGTATGCGCCACTCCTTTGAAAGGGCACCGTTTGAGTGAGGAAAGCTGCACACAATTTTCAGGAAACCTTGGCTTGTCGTGTAGCAACACTTGAAGGTTACGGTTCGGAGCTCGGGCTAAGGAGCCGTTTCCTTCAGAGTTCCGAGTGTATGTGTCCGCAGCAGCAACTCCAAGTCCAGAGTTTCGGGCAACTTACAGTCAGAGGCCTTAGCATTGCCATACCACCGAAAGCACAGCAATTCTGCGGGGCAGATTTCAACGGGTTTTGCAGCAAGAGCCCGAATGGCACTGACAGTGAGACTGGACTGACACCTTCGAAGAAGCAAACCACAAGCAAGCGGGCGGCTGCTGCTCAAGCAATCGGCGCTGGACTCGCAACCTCTCCATGCACGTTACGTAGCCGAGGTTGCAGGTGTAGATTTAAGCTCATGTGACTTCTGCAGCTCATGCTTTCCTGCTCGCCTGGTCGACGACAGCTTCCTCACCCGATTGGAACAGCATGGGCTGGCAAACACGTGTGAAGCTAAACTCATCTGCAAAACCGCAAGGCTGCCAGGCCCAAGCGTGCATCCCCGTTTTTGGTAAGCAAGCTTGTATGCAAGCAGCTTCTCTTTGCTGGCTTTGGGTTTAGGAGTTTAGGGGTTTCGCAACTCGGACTCCGCCAGACGAGGTCTCTGTGTCCACGTGCGGGTTTAATTAGGATTTAGATAGAGCATAGGATTACTGTTTCCACACACGGCTTGTAGTTCCCGGAACGACAGATCTTCGTGCGAGCTCTTCTGCTGCTTCTCTGCTTCTCCAACCGCCTCCAGTGAGCCCGAGGTCAGTCTTCGAGGACATGTGCAAAGTCCCGCAAGACCGTATACCTACCCGCCAACGTGACCAAAAAACCAGAATCAGAAAGATACCGTGCCTGGACCCCTGGGTACTGATAGGTGTAGGTCGCGGCAGGCTGGTAGGCCGGCACTTGCTGATAGAACCTTTTTTGCAGTTGGGTGTATTGTTGGATCCCCTTGAAGTCTTGACCACGGTAACTTGACGTATCCCCGGAAACACAACAAGGTCGGCTTCAAGTTTCACCCGTGCCCTAGTCACCATGAGAGCTAACAACGAAGGAGCGCCAGGGCCTCACCGCAATGATGAGTCTTCTGGCGGCGGAAATCCGATCTTTCGTGCCACTTGCAGATCCATCACGACATATCACGAGGGGCTGCATGAGCATATTGAGCTTTCGCCCTTTAGGGGCCTGTCCTGGACTCCCACATAAATCCCAAATCTGCAGGCTTTCGTTCAACCAAGCCCCTGCTATGATCGGATTGGCAGACTGGATCCTCCTTAGCTTTAGCCAAGTGCCACCACCTCGCGACACGTGGCACCCGTTGTGGGAGTCGGGGGGATGATAGCAGCCAGGGCTTCAGGATCGAGCGATTCAAAAACTGTTGTGAGGGACGGTGACTGTTTCGGCCTGATCCACAATATACCCCAAAACTTCTCGTGCGAAATTTTACTCCTTCAGAGTCGCTTTAGACCACCTGATGACCACTATTCATCTTCACACTGGACGAGTAGCTGCGGCACAGGAGTCATGGGTCCCTGTGGGCCCATAGGATGAAGCATGCCCTGGTACTGCTCAAAGCCTGACCAGGTCAACGGAACTGACTCGACCTCCTAGTGGTCATTGGCAAGCAAAGCTGTGGTGGCTCACTGGAAAACCATGAAAGCCCACATCAGAGCTACCAGAGATGGAAAGCAAGAAAGAAACACTACACCTGCAATACGCTACAGACTCAGGGACACTAGCAAGTTCTACTCTGGGAGCCTCTAGCACATGGCAAAGGCAGAGCAATCGATGGTGAAGCAAACCACTAGGGTTTAGGGTTTAGGGTTTAGGGACATGTGAGATCTGTCTGGCCAAGCATCGCGCAACTCGCTACCTGAATCTACCTCAAGTCGCCTGCATAAGCCGGCGTCGAAACCATCACACGGCCCAACATCCGATGAACAGTCGTAAACACCTCTAAAATCCGGAAGAACATCAACCCGAAAATCCAAGCCCCAAGCCAATGTTACATCCTCCCCCCAACGCCAAACTCGTCGGTTCTGAATCGTAGAGCATTGTGCGGTAAACCATGCAAGTATATTTTCAGCCCTGAATAACCCAAACCCTCAACTCACACGCACCCACACACTCTCTCTCTCTCTCTCTCTGTCTCTCTCTCTCTCTCTCTCTCTCCGGGGCACTCAGTCGCCTGTCAGGTTCCTCCCCACAGGACTACCACACAGTACATGTAGCCAGCATTGCAGAAGGAAGCGAAAAGGTTAGAACCAATGACGGAAAGCTTGAACCATGCACTTCCACTCAATCAAACCCTAAACCCCCTTGCACTTCCACTCCATCAAACCCTAAAGCCCTTGCACTTCCACTCAATCAAAACCTAAACCCCTAAGCCCTCAAAACCCCAAAACGCTTTTAGGCCCTGCCTGTTGCCAGAGCCGGAGCTGCGGGAGCTGGAGCCTCCTGATCGGCGATCGGGCTTGCAAAGGATGGCATCAAGCATCCACTGTGGGTTTGAAGCAACTTTACGGGTGCTGTATATATATATATACATACATACATACATACATACATATGTATGTATAGCGCCAACACAAATATATATATATACATACATACATACATACATACATACATACATACATACATACATACAGATACACATGTAGGTATGTATGCATGAACGAATGTATGTATGTATGTATATACATATACGCCTATGTAGCCTAGATGCACATACATCTATATACATCAATATACACACATACATACATACATACATACATAGATATATATATATATGTGTGTGTGTATATGCAGGCTTCGTGGTTCTAACACAAATTGTTTGCACATTCGTAGGAATTGAGGGCTTGTGGGCTTCCTAATCCAAGCTTTGGGATCACCGAGGCTTGATACACAAGCACCACTGTGCTGCGAGTTGATTTATCAGCTGGCCTCGAACTAGATCCCCCAGAGAATCAGTGAGACGAGGACCTCACCGCAAGCAACATTAACTTTTCGCTCGCAGTGCAGTGAGTCTAACCATTCACTTTAACAATTCTTGCCATTGTGCTTACACGCTGTTCAACCTCCCTAGGCCCCATGTCCTCGTCCACAATCATCGCCTGCGGACGAGTTGCTTCAAAGACATGGGGATGTCTGAAACGGAACGGCCTACAGCGCTTACTCGTCCTTTTGTCTCACCCCTGCGTAGAACCCAAAATCCTATAGGTCAGACAGTGAAATTTCGACTCGAAGCCGTCTCAAACTTTTCTATCGTTCCCTCGGCTATCGAAACTCCACACTCTGAAGTCTGAAGTCTCAGTCCCGTTTTGCGCGATGTCGGCGATGTATGTAGGAGCTCTACTTGGTCAGCGACACTCAAGTACCTCAAATCCCGGATGCTCTACCCTAATGCCTTCATCCTGGGAAGCTCCATTGTACTCGAAAGCAACAGTCAGCCCAATATGCTTGAGATTGCCTCTGCTGCTCGCTCCACACCGACGCCGCGCTTCGACTTCTTCTTCGACTGCAGAGAAGGGAGCCGAGGACCGCAGATTCACAGCGTTTAGGGTTTAGGGCTTTAGGGTTTTAGGGTTTAGGGTAAATCCCCAGAAGTACGCCAGAATCGAGTCACTCTAGTGATCTTCTGCGGCTGCGGCATGCTTCGGCGGGAACCTCTGTGACTTGACCTGCTAGTTTTGGAAACTCGGGGCCTCCTAACCCCGAAACCCTCGTAAGTCTCAAGATGCGTCCTTGCTCTTCTTTCCTCCGGCGAGGAAGTAGTAGGCGACCCCACCAATGCCAAGGGCGGCCACGGCACCCCCTTTGCTGGGTGTTCAGGAAGCTGGGCCCGAAGTAGGAATCCACCATGGGGCACAGACTAGCTTCTGGAGAGCATGAGCTCTGCGCCAGGTTTCATAAATCCTGAAAGTCTCTCTGCACCTGTTCGTTTGCAACGGTATGTATGCACGGAGTCTGTTTAATGCGACAGTATCGACAGCAGGGCTTGAAGTAACACACACCGCCAAAAACCCGAGACTCTCAAGCTACCCAAATCATTGAACGGATACGGACCAACATGGCGCATGCCTCATCTCTGAATCTGCCCATCACCGGGGATAAGGGTTCTAGTTTGTAATAGAAATGGTACTGGTAATAGTAATGACCACAGTAATAATCATAGTCATAGTAATGTAAGAACAACAACACAAATAATAGTAATAGTAATAGCGACAGCACTAGTAATAGTAGTAATAATCGTAATAGTAATAGTAGTAGTTGCGGTAGTAGTAACATAGCAATAACTATAATTATAATGGTATTCCTCCCAACTGTGGTCCCAACCGGCCAGGGCATTGGTCATCATGTTGCTGCCACCCGGTGTTGTGGCAGGAGCTGCGCCCAAGGTCTGCAAACACAGGAACTGATTTCAAGGTCTGTCGGACTGAAGGTCCTGATCATCCACTCGGCTGTAACAACCACTCAGGGAACATGTGTGCTATGCACATCTTAAACTCGAACTCCTCCGAAGCCAGGAACGTCAGACAGAGGCCTTTACACTACACCGCCACGAAAGCGTGAGGCACCTCTGCCATTTCTGTATAGACTAGAGCACTCTAACTATGACAGTCAAAATGCCAGATGCTACACGAAAATGACGACAACGACAGCAGCTGCCACCATCAGTGTGTGAAGATGCAGCTTGGTGCTGACGCTTGGGTTTGAGACTCAAATGCGATGAAGACCTGGTAGATGCAACACACACATGTTTCCACTTGCAATTTGTTTTTTGCACACTCCGCAAACCGAAAAGTCCGATTATCGCGAACACCTTTAACTTTTCAGTGGGTCTAACACCGCTTCTGGACGCATGCGTCATGTGCCAAATATCTGAAGGAAAAGACATGTACCTCACCTAACAGCGAAAGGCAAGTATCTGCAGAAACGACATGACAGTATCTAAGCTAACAGCGACAGCTGAAGGCGCGCCTTCAGCGACCCCGTGGTTTATTTGCACTCAAGGGCAGCACTTACAGGCCCCCAAAATCCGCTACGAGTAAGCTTTAAACCGGCCCTGTGGACCTCATGATCATCTCCGCCCTTGGCAAGCCAACTTTGGGGTGAGTGAGGTGCAGGCCTGGGCGTTAGCGTCCTTGTACGCTGGCAATTCCTCTTTTAAGCTCTGGGACTGGGGCTGCAAGAACACCCACCCGGGCTGACAAATGGCAAGCTGACTTCTGTCATTTTGCGGCTCACAAAGATAATCGGAAATGACGGACTATAATGTGTACCGACACTCAACCATGGAGCCGCTGCAGTAGCAAAGTCGTCGCAGAGGTGGCGGGCGTAGCAGTAGCAGGAGTAGTAGCAGTAGTAGTCGTGGTAGTAGTAGTGGTGGAAGTAGTTACGTAGTAGTCGTAGTAGTAGTAGTAGCAGTAGTAGTAGTGGTGGTAGTAGTGGTGGTGGTAGTAGTAGTAGAAGTAGTAGTAGTAGTAGTAGTAGTAGTAGTACTAGGAGTAGGAGTAGGAGTAGGAGTAGGAGTAGGCGTAGGAGTAGGAGTAGGAGTAGGAGCAGAAGCAGCAGCAGGAGTAGTAGTAGTAGTAGTAGTAGTAGTAGTAGTAGTACTAGTAGTAGTAGTAGTAGTAGTAGCAGCAGTAGTAGTAGTAGCAGCAGCAGAGCAGCAACGGCGGCAGCAGCTGCAGCAGGTAGTCGCAGCAGCATCGCCTGCAGTCTGCGTAGTGCCAGGTAGCCCTTCGAACCGAAGCAGGAGACGTGACTCACACTCAGGAAGCAGATAAACAAGCCGCAGACCCGGCATGTGCTACATCTCTCAAGCTAATTAAGCTTCCGTCCTTATGCAGGCCTCTACCCTGCCCTTAATCTCGTTTCCATACGGCAGGCCCAACTTCACTGCCCAGTTACGGTGGCATCCGTTCCTTGCTGCTGGCAGGGGGGGTCAGAAGTTTGCCGACGGGCAGACGTTGTTGAACAGGCTAGGGCATTCGAGCGTGGCTGGCACGCCCTGCTACTGTGCTTGCGACAGAACTGGCGCACTCGTGGGTCATCTGCCTGTTCTGTTTATGACGGTTTTATCCCCGTGCGAGAAAGGACGAAGCATGGCAGGTCCAACTGGACATCCAAGGCAACACACATCTTGCTCGTTGTCCACCTAAGCATAAGCGAAAATAACTATAACTGCATCTGCGGATCCTTCAATTGCCACCTGGCATTCCAGGGTGCATGCGCAGGCTAGCGGCTTTGGGAAGAGACATAAGCCGAAGATGCTTGTATGGTCATTTGCACAACATGGTTTCGGCCGGTGAGCTGACGACTGCCAAATGTCGTCAGGCATTGTTGCACTTTCGTAACACATCAACGAAGGGTGGGAGTTGAGCGCTTGCTTCAGCTGTCATTTAACCCGAAGCGGCGGGCTGTGTTACCAACCTATCATGATGCGTCCGAAAGCTTTTCAAGATGCAAAACTAGCATGAATGAACAGCCCGGTAAACCTAGTGTCAACGCAACAAAACCTGGACACTAGCCGTCGGTATCTGTCATGGAACAACGGGCCCGACGAATTAAGACAAGTGCACTGGCTTCACCGTCGGCGTTATCACCGCCAAAGGTGGCAATGTAGGCATGTCCTCCCAAGGGGTTCTAGGGCGTGCAGGGAACATATGACTTCCAGAGACACACAAACATGTTTCCAGGTACTTGTCGACACAACACAACCCACAAGATCACCAAAAAGAGACGTCAGGTAGCATGCAAAATCGCAAGCGGGGCGCCATCTCGGAATGTCGCGCTGTCGTACTTATAAGCCTTCGCTGTTTATTTTAGCGATTAATGCCTCAGGACAACAGCATATGTGAGCGGTTGTCAAGACTTGTTGTTTCATGCTTGGTCATGGATGCTTCCGGGGGGTCCTGGCGCTTTACAGGGATCTGCTCTACTTTTGTTTGTTTGGAAAAACGCTTTCTCTTGTGAGTGTAACAGTGGCAGCATGAAATGTAAGTAAGAAAGCCATAGCTGTGTTAGTAAGAGTCGTCGTCGCAGTAATGATAAGAAAGCATTGTGAGAAAACACTAACAACGATTCCATCGGCTTGGGCATTCGCTCTTGAAATGAGGTAATGTGGCGACAGCAACGGAATGTCACGACAGATGATCTTCGTTGGTCGTATCGCTTCTGGGGAACTATCGCTTTTCAAAGTTGTTGACCAAATCCAGCATTCCAAGACAACTCTAATCTTAACTACAACTGGGGAAGTTGTGACGGATGCTCATGTAGGTATGAAAGGCTATACTATACTGGTTCATATCTGGGTCTGCCCACTACCTGCTTCACACATCCACACCTGCAAATTTCTCTTCGGTTTGCTCCAAATGTGTGTGTGTGTGTGTGTAGCCTGATATGGAAGTATAGGTGGAAGCACGGTGACGGCGCTACGCGAATTGCCAAGACATCACAACTATGTAGGTTTCAAGCCTAATCCGTTCCTAGATTTATTAAACACCCCCGAATAATACAAACAGGTTCGCAAAACCCCCTGACATCATCCCCGCCTTTGCATTACCGAGATTCAGCAAGAGCAGGAAGAGGAGCAAGAGAAGAGCAAGACAAGAGCGAGAGCTAGAGCAAAAGTAACAGGAAGAGCAAGACCAAGAGTGAAAGCAAGAGCAAAAGCAGGAGCAAGAGTACGAGCCGGTGCAAGAGCAAGAGCAACAGCAAGAGCGGGAGCAAACACCTGGCAAGATCCCTCAAAAGTGGCAGCTTCTAGTAGAGATAAAAATACACCCTAATAAGTAAAACACTTTCCGAAACTTCTTGCCGGGGGGGTCCTCCGGTCAATATATAAGGGTTGTCAGAGTTTACCCTATCAAGCAAGGTTCCCCAAAAACCCTTTTAACCCTGTCCTGAGCGACCTTCGAATCCGCCGAGCTAACACAAGCCTGGCCAATGCACGGAAATCCTTATAAGCATTCCCCCTGGCCAGGATCGAAAGTTGGGAGGCGACGCGGTGCACTGACAATTGAAATCTGTAGTAACGCTTCGTCGTGCAAAAGGGAGACTTGGCCCTTGGAGGATGCATCTTTAGCAACACTGGGATGGGAGAAATTCCTTGCAAGCCTCAACCCGCAGTGTCCGATTCTGATGTATCACAGTTGCGGCCGGCGCTTTACTAAGCCCAATTTGGAACAAGAGATCCCCGAAAAAGCGTTCCAAGCCTCGGATTTGTTGAGGGTTCACGGCTTCGGTTTGGATCAAAATGTCCACTTTCGCAAATCCGAAACGAGCCCTGACTCTGAAGAAACAAGAGGTTTGTCAGGCTAGAGGATTGGACCTAAGCCAAGGATAAGCATTAGCAACCGAAGCCGACAGGCTAGGTGAGGCGAGGATCTAGTGTTTGATGGTGTTTAAAACTTGAAGGTCGGGGCAGCTGACACAGAACAACGTTTAACCATGATTACACGCAAATTCCATGGCCTGATTCGGAACCAGTCGTATCCACAAAACCACACACAATGTCAATCATCCGGGGTGGCCGCACCCTGCTTTCCAGACTCCAGATTCTAATGCCACAAATCGCCCTACAGTCTAACTTCAATGAACCCCATACCCATCCCTTTTTTTGAGCAGGGACTGCAATGCACAAAGCCCTAAACCCGAAACCCCAAACCCCAAACTAGGGCTTAGGGGTTCAGGGGTTTAGCTTTGGGTTTAGGGCTTTGGGATTAGGGCTTTGGGTTTAGGGTTTAGGGCTTGGGGATTAGGGCTTTGGGTTTAGGGTNNGAGCAGGGACTGCAATGCACAAAGCCTTGAATCCCCATACCCATCCCTGAACCCCAAATCTTACACCCTAAAGCCTAAAGCTCAGACCTGGCCCTTAACCCTAAAGTCGACATCCGTGGGTTCGGAGTCTTCGAGCACCCATGCCCATAGAGTCAGGGTCCGGCAAGAAAGAGCATTAATGAGCTGATTAGGATTTCGGTGTGTCTTCTCAATGAAAGTTCTTATCACACATTTATATAGGAGTGCTAAGCTTGTAGAAAGAGACCAAGAAGGTGATGCTATGTGACGAATCCTTGAAACCCCGGTAGCATGCTGCTAGCTCCAGGCATGCCGATTGCATGAAACCATAGAGCTAGCGAAACATTCAGAGTAATAGCGTTCCAATACCCTTCACGAGTAGAACTTACTATTGGGGTTAATGGATTAAGTTAGGTATCAGGAAAATTCGCTACAGCTTATTACTACTGACTACAACTCCAGGAAGAAAGTACATGCCCAAGAGATTTCAATCAGACTGACCAGCCTCGGAAGTGTCACTCGACCTCGAACCCA